GGGGAGCACTGAAAAAGGGGGTTTGCCCCCCCCCAGCCACGAGCCGAGGAGCGATCCCCACTGTGGGCTGCCCTCGCACCTCCCCGCGAGCCCCAAATTTCGCAGCCCCGGGGCGATGCGGCAAACCCGCAGCCCTGGATCCGCCCGCCGTGGGCTCCTCCCAATGGATGCAAGTCCAAATTGCTGCCCAAGACACCCCAGCTCTGCAGCTGGTCCCGGGTCCATCCCGTGCCGTGGCTGCGTTGCAGGCAAAGGCATCCCTGGAGAGCGCACGGGAAGCGTCAGAGCAGGCGAGGAAGACGGTGGAGTCCAGCCTGCGGGAGCTGCAGGAGCAGAACGACAACCTGAGGAGGAAGGTCCTCGGGATGGAGACGCAGCTGAAGGAGTATGAGCGCTTGGGCGAGAACTGGGAGGGCTCCCAGGCACGGCTCAAGGAGAAGGTCACCAAACTGGAGGTACCGGGGCTGCGGCCGTTTCCGAGCTGCCCTGAGCTGTTCCCCTGCCATGGGAAGGAGTTTGAAGAGCTCCCTCCTTGCAGGCAGAGCGCAGGCAGAGGCAGGAGTCTCTGGGCGAAGCCACGGAGCGGGAACAGGAGCTGCTGATGGCCAAGCGGTCGCTGGAGACCCGCCTGGAGGAGGCGCAGCGGAGCCTGGCCCGGCTGACGCAGGAGCACCAGGAGCTGAGCACGTCGTACCAGGACGAGCAGCGGCAGAAGGAGCAGCTCAAGCGCGCCAAGAGTGAGCTGGAGGAGCAGAAGCGCCTGCTCGATCGCACCACGGAGAAGCTGAACAAAGAGGTTGGGGCGCCCGGGTGCCTCTGGGGCCGCTTGCACCCCCGGGACCCCCGTCCCATGGGGCATCGTGTGCCGCGACACCCGGTCTCTGTGCCACGGGATGGGGATCTCTGAGATGTCCTCGCTGGGTTAGGGGATCTGGGACTTTGGGCATGGATCTGGTTTCCCTGCGGAGCCGGTTGGGACCGCTCCTTCCCCCATGTCCTGGGAGACTCCATAAAATCACGCTGTCCCCAGGGATCAGCATCCCCTGGTGTCCCAGGGCCATGTTGTCCCCTACCCTTCCCCAAGCAGCTCCTGCAAGAGCCCGGTGCCTGCTCAGAGTCTGGGATCATCCAGGCTGCTCCGGCAGGGCTTGCACCCCTCGCCGTGATGCTCCTGAGCCCACGGGGCAGAAACGTTCCCCCCCAGCCCCTTGCCCATGGGTATCTTCTCCCACCTCGAGTCCCATCAGCTCAGGACAGGGTGCATAGGCTGGTGCCCGGCTCCTGAGCTGTCCCCGCTCTGCTGCAGCTGGAGCAGATGACGGAGGAGTCGCACAGCTCGCTGGCCGTGCTGAAGTCGCAGCTGGAGGAGTTCAAGGAGAAGTCGCGGAAGGAGATCACAGACTCACAAAAACAAGCCAAGGATCGGGGCGCCGAGGTAGAAAAGATGCAGTTCAGCATGGGACGGCTGCAGGACGAGGTACGGCGAGGGCTGGCGGGTTGTGGGTCCCCACACTGTCCTCTCCGTCCCTCCGTGAGGAGCTTGGGGACACGTCTCACGTGGGGACACCTTTTCCCTCGGTGCCACAGGTCGCCCGGCTGAAGCAAGCGCTGCAGGACAGCCAGGCAGAGCGGGAGAGCACGCTGCTGGATAAGGAGGTGCTGCTCCAGCGCCTGCACAACCTCGAGCAAGAGATGGAGACCAAGAAACGCTCCCAGGACGATCGTTCGCGGCACGTCAAGGCACTGGAGGTGAGGAGCGCTGCGCGGCGCCCCAAAACCGCTCGTCCCGTTCCTGCAGTGCTGTTTGCTAACAGCAAGGGGCAGAGCTCGCCCAGCCATCCTCCATCCCACAGCTGCTGCGAGAGAGGAGCTACACAGCCTGGCAGCGCTGGGGGGGGGTGGGCGCTATTGCTAATATTAATATTTATTAACTGCTAGTGCAGCGGCTTTGTTTCGGCTCTGTCCGGCATTGCCCTGCAGCTCAGCTTGCCACAGGCTGTTGCTTTGTGGGTTATTCTCCCCTGACGGGGTGGTGGGTGCACGGGGGTCTGCACAGCGTCAGGCTGCCATGTCTCACAACCAAACATCTCCCTTCTCCTGCCTCCCGGGCTGCGTCGGAGCCTCCCAGGCCGGTTGGGTTTTGCTGAGCTGGAAGCGTCGTCGGAGCAAAGCCCCTTCCTCCAGCATCCCAGCTCGCTGGCCCCGGCTGGCCTGAGCCCCTCCTGCCGCCTGTCCCCCTGCCCACGGGGACCCCAAGGCCCATCATGACCCTTCTGGTCCCGTCTCCCTGCAGGAAAAGTCCAAGCACCTGGAAGTGGAGCTGGATGAGGAGAGGACCACAGTGGAGCTGCTGACGGAGAGGGTCAACCGGAGCAGAGACCAGGTAGGGCAGGCGGTACCACCCCAAACCCGGCTGGTGCCATGGCAGAGCCCCCCCAGCTCCGGCAAAATAGTGCTGGATAACTCAGGTCCTCGGGTACGACTGGTCACCGGAGTTAAAACCCCATTAATGAGTTGTTAGCGAGCAGCCCGGAGCCCTCCGTCACTCTAAATACAATTGAGATGACACTGTCTGAAAAGCTGGTTCGGGCGCGAACGGAAATTATACAAGCTTGGCACACACAGAAAAAAAAGAAATACCCTGAAATTACAGGGTGAGGTTTGTGTTTGTGCAGGAAGTTGGGGCTTAAATTACACCGGTCTCCAGGCTCTCCCCTCCCTCTGAACCCACCTGCTTATTACCTTCAAAGCCGGAGCTGGTGTTTGAGCTCTGCGAGCGGGCGGGAGCTGCCTGCTGAGCCTCCCGGCATCCGGCAACGCTGGGTTTTACCGGGATCCCGGGATCGGCAGCTCCTCTGCTTATAGCCCGTCTCCCTCCTGCCCCACCGGGATCCAGCCTGGGGCTTGGAAAGGGGATTCCCACCCCTCGAGCTACGGCGAGCCGGTAAAATGGGTGGTTTTCCCATTTTCCCATCTGGGAAACAGGCACATCCCAGGGGAGACTTTTCCTGCGAATCCTGGACGTGCCTGAAGCACAGGAGCTGCAGAGCAGGGATGTGCATGAAACACAGCTGGGTTCGGCTCAGAAGTGGCCCTACCAGCTTTTGGGGCTGCTTGAATAAAATTCAAGCAATTTTTTATATAAACTCCAATTTCCTTCGCTTTAAAACAACGCACAGAGCTGCATATTTCACCTTGGTCAACCTGAAAGAGGCCCCTGGGGTGGTTCTGGTTTTGCTCCGTCAGTGGATCAAACCCATTCCTGCCCCCGGCACGTCCGCACCACCGTGCCCCGCGGTGCCGGGCAGAGCTGGGAGCGCAGCCGGGTCCCCAAATCCCAGTCCAACCAGTTTAAACCCTCCGGTGGAAAATTGCAGCCCTCGGCTCTGGGCTGCTTGCCAGAACGGCGGTAACTAATTTGGGAAGGAACCAAAATCCTCTCTTCGGGGGTTTTTGGTGTCACCGATACCGGCTGTGTGCCGTGGGACGGCCACCGTGTGGCTGTTGGGTGCACTGAGTCCACCCGTGCTCTGCGGCACTGGCGTCATGGGAAGAAATTGCGGTGGCCCCAATCTCTCACTGAGTGAACACGGCGGCGGAGGATGCGGCAAAACCAACCCGTGCCCTGTCCTTGTCCCCAGATCGACCAGCTGCGGGCAGAGCTGCTGCAGGAACGCTCCAGCCGGCAGGACCTGGAGTGTGACAAGGTCTCGCTGGAGAGGCAGGGGAGGGCGGGCAGCGGAGG